CACACACACACACACACACACAAACTCATGCACCCTAGTCCCTAGCAGTCAAGGAGGTTCAGGTAGGGGTGTCAGGTCTTTGGACAACTTTGGTTGGGAGTGGGCATTTGGGAGAGAACCTCACCAGGCAGAGCCTGAAGCCAGAGTGGCAAGCCTGCTGTGTGAGCACTAATTACCCTCATGTCCACCTCATCCAGTGCAAGGTGGAATCCAGATAGGATTCTCACCTGTGATAGGCAGGAGCAGCATTTCCTCCTATAGGTGGCTTGAAAGTGGCTGGGCAAAGGCATGTATGTCGACAGTGAAAGGCTCAAGTGCTGTTGTTATGGGACCATGTCCTTGGAGCCAGTGCCTGGGAGGAGGCACAAAATGGCATGGGTTTGTCAGATGATTGATCAACCATGGGGAGACCAGCTGCAGTTTGTGAGACATGTATATGGGCATTGTGGCGACTAGTGTCTCTGCATCCTTACCTGCACATGTTGAGGGACCTGTTTCCTCCCTCTCATCCTTACCTGCACATGTTGAGGGATCTGTTTCCTCCCTCTCACCAGAAGAGTGACTGACAAGTTAAGTTGCAGAGGGCAGGGCGGCAAGTCCTCAGCTCACCCTGCCCTGGCCTTCTCCTCCACAGGGCCACAGTAAGTCAATCCAGTGTCTGACGGTGCACAAAAACGGCGGCAAGTCCTACATCTACTCTGGGAGCCACGATGGGCACATTAATATCCTTTGACTCAGGGAGCTGGCTCTAGCCTCTGGCAGGATTTCTTGTTCCCACGGTGCTGGAGGTCAGACCCGCCAGGTGGCATAGCGCCAGCACCAAGCTTTGAGCAGCGCTGCCCTCTGTGGTGCGTGGCCTGCACTGAGGGCTTCTAGTCTCAGGCTGTGGACTCGGGAAGCCCTGCAGCCACTGCACAGCCAGGCACTTCTTGCTATGCAGTTCAGTGTGCTGCTTGGCATCTCTGAACATGAGCTTCTTTTCTTATGAAGGACAGCTGGTGCTAACCTTGTCCCTGTCACAGGCAGTGGAGTTATTGGGTCTTAGAATTCAGAAGGTCTTAGAAACCCCTTGATGGAGTCTTGAAAATGGAAAAACAAGCTGAAAGAGATAAGATTTCTTCCTCAGAGTCACACAGCCAGTGAACAACACAGCTGGGACCAGAAGTCCCAAGGAGGTTCCATGTGGCTCCTCAGTGACATTCCCTGGAGACATGTGGGGCCCCCCACACTAGCTCTCCTGTCCAAGGCTTCCTACTGTGCTTTCTGTCCTCGGAGGACACACTGAAGCCCTGGGCAGCCACTCCAGGGCAGATGGGGCCCAGGCGCCTGCACACTCCGTTGAGTCAGTAGTCACCGTTTCCTTCTGCCCCCTGCCATGTATGTTCCCACAGTGCCAGGCCACCCTGTGTGTAGATAGCCTTTGTTCTGCATGCCACTGTCCCTCCTGGAGTGGGCTGCTCCACACCCCTTTCTTCACGCCTCAGAAGCCCACCTTGTCTCTTTAGGGCTTTGAGGTTTCTGTAAGACCCAAGAAGGTTCTTCCAGCCTACAGAGGGAACAGATAAGACCCTCTCTGCCCCACTGGATGGGAGGAAAAGCATCACAGCTGGTGGCAGACAAGGCCCGAGGACCAGTCTCCTGTGGTCACAGTTGGACCTCAGCAGGCCCTGGCCACTGCTCTCTTGTCCCAGTGTCAGGACTTTAAAGTTCCTGACTTTAGCTATGTCTTGCACCTGGCTGGACTCGCCCCAGCAGTGTCAACCTTGAACACACAGTCAGCTTCCAAAGAACCATGATCTTCATTGAAAATAAGATTCCTATTTGTCAGTGTAAAAGTAGTCTCATTGCTTAAGCCACAACTTACACCTGGACACCTCAGGCTCAGAAACCGTACACTGGCCCGTGGAAAGGTGTGTCACCCCAGGGCTGTCACCTAGCATCACCTGGTGAGCAATGTTGCATAGCCAGCCTCACTGGGGATGGCCATGGGCTTGACTATGTATATCAGAAAACAAATGAGATGGCCTACTTGCCCAGAGTTCCAGCAGACAGTGTCCATCTGAGCTGTCCACTAGCTGTCTAGTCTCTTATGAACCACCTCTGAGGGCACTTCCATGAGTCATTAGTGGACATCCCTTATTCAGACATTTTGGGGCTGGATTATTTTCAAATTTGGAAATATTTGCATATACAAGTTTGCAGGGGACTCAAGTCTAAACACAAAATTGCAGTTGTTATACCCTGAAGGTAACTTTATGTACAGTATTTTTAACATGTCTGCATTTTGACTGTACCATCATGTGAATGAGTGGGATTTTCATTTACAGGATCATGTCCACACAGAAAGTTTCAGACTTTGGCACTTTCTGGGCTGGGGATGCTTGATCTGTGCTGTCACAGATAGGATTTCATGTTCTGGAGCAGTCAGGCTCTTACCACCTCGGCCCATGGAGTCGGACAACCTGCTGCCCTGCAGTCAGAGCACTGCACTCCTTTCTGAAATGCTGGGCTTGAACGTCTGGGAGGGTGCCTGTGTCCTCTCAACTGCTTTGCTGCTGCTCTTTCTGGGCCTCCTGGGTAAGGGATTGCTGTGGCAGGCACCACCCTTCTGAGGTCATCCTTAACCCTGCCCCACATTATTGGGATTCAGAGACAGGGGAAAATGACTCCTTTTCTGGAAAAGGCCACACGAATCAGGTGTCCAGGATGACTGTGGACGAATCTGGGCAGCTCGTCAGCTGCAGCATGGATGACACTGTGCGCTATACCAACCTCATGCTGAGGGACTACAGGTGAGAACTGCCTGTGGGGCCAGGGATGGGCTGGAGGGGTCCAGAATGAGCCACTGCTGCCCACAAAGGGCCCACTCTAGGAGCAGTGGCTTTTCTCAGTGATGTTTTATTTGCTCTTTCCACTTCTAAGCATTGTTCTGTTGTCAGGTCTGAGCTACAGGGTCCATGTGACCTACATGTAGCTCCTAAAACAGTGACCAGGGGTAGGCTCTGTCCCGGGAGTGAATAGCAGATCATACACCTGCTCTTCTGGAGCTTGCTGGGCCTCCTGTACCTCTTTTCTCATCAGTAAAGATGGGTGATGGTGGAGTCCCAGGCTAGTGGAAAGGTCAGTCAGGTGAGGCCCTCAGGGCACCTGCCTTTGGCACAGAGCACATACCTGCTCAAGCATGAGATGGGTTCCCGAGCACTGATTCAGAGATGCTGTCCTCCTGGCTTTGCTCTGATGTCTTCAAATGACAAGTCATTAGAGCTTAGAGAATAGCTGTTATCAAGGGACCAGAAGTTCCAGGTGCAGGTAAGGGGCAGTGGAGGGAGCGCTGCATGTCCCTAATGTGGGGCGTAGAGACTTTCAGACTTGACAGGGCCTCTTGACCCCGTGTCCCCACACCTGGGATTGACCCTCCCTTGCCCTGTACTGCTGTCCTATGCAGACCCCAGCTTTTTGCCTGGGACCTGTCTCACCTGGGGTCAAGGATCCTGGGGAGCAGCTGAGCCTCATAGGCACTGCAGCCTCCTTAAGTGTGTGCACTTGATACTCATGCCTTACTGGCTCTCTGACAGCCTCTGACCCTGTCATGTCTCCTGTCAAGGCATCCAATGTCTGCTGCTCTGTGGTGACCCTGTTCCTAACATGTCCCTTGTGAAGGTCTTCCTATGGGCAGGCCATGGCCACACACTCTAAGAGAACCCAAGACTCTCAAAAAGCTAGCCACAGCCTGGGGACCTTGCAGAGCCCTTCCAGGGGGCTCCACATTTGGCCCAGCTGCATGGAAGTGTTCTCAGTTTACAGTTTACAAGAAGTGGGTGCATGTGTAAGTTACTCAGGGATGATTTTTTTTAGCATTAGCCAAGACAAAAGGAAGGTAATGTCTATGAAAGGTAATGAAATCTTAAGTTCTGCTACTGGCAAGAATGGTCCTACCATTACCGTTGGGAGGGAGCAGAGCTCAATTCTGTTGTAGCAAAAAACTTGGGTTTGATCTGCAGCCCTGGGGACAGAAGCTGAGCTTTGGTGGAATTGATAGGGTGGCAGGGTCCTATCACAGGTAAATAGGAACAGACTGTTCACTTCCTTTCCCCTCCTCCTTTACCATAGCTAGTCTCCCATCATAATTGGCCACCACTGCCATAGAGTAAGGTATCTGTTTTTTTTTTTTTTTTTTTTTTTTTAAACCACCATAATGTAGCAAATTTCTCCTTCAGTGTAGATTACAGCAGGATCTCCTCCTGCATGGCTAAGTGTGTGGCTTTGCAGTGCACATATATTGAACACCTGTGCCAAGCTGCTTGCATGTGGAAGTGATGCTTTCCTTTCTCCACAGTGGACAAGGAGTTGTGAAACTGGATGTTCAACCAAAGTGCGTAGCCGTCGGCCCTGGGGGATATGCTGTGGTCGTGTGCATCGGGCAGGTATGGATCTGGCTCATTCTGGCTGCAGGTGGTGGAATAGGGGGTTGAAGCTTCCAACTGTGATGTCTAGTGTCTAAATGCCACTCGTGTCCCATGTGCCAGTAACTGCGGCCAGCACTTTTGTCTAGCACCCATTGGCACTGTGCCATGCTCCCTGCCGTCCTACCAGTTAGGCAGAGCGTTGCCTCCAATTTATAAATAAGGGATGCATTGCTACCTGTGGTCAGGCAGGTAAAAGGGCAGGGCTGGGATCTGTCTCTAAACAGCAGACCACACTGCAGCCCATTAACCAATTGGGTCTGTGAGGGGCTTGGCTAGATGGTCCTGTCATGTTTGTGTTCACATCCCAGCCCTGCTGCATTGGAGCTGTGCAGCTTCAGGCACTTGCCTCACCCTCTCTGCGCATTACAAACTCACATATCATCATGTCAGACTCCTATCTTGAGATCCTTTAACAAAAAAGGAAGCTAAAGTTTAGAGCTGTCTGATGACATTACCAGGCCTCATGCTGGCAGGGTGACACCAAGGCTGATGGGCTGACTGCACAGCCTGGCTTCCCTTTCCCACACTGAGGCCACTCACTTCTCTTTTGGAACTTCTGGAACACAGTGCCCTTGATTATGATCCATACCTGACCCACTTGAACAGGATTTTGTTTCATGGTGCGTATCATCTTGTCAGCAGCCTGGCATCCTGCTGTGTGGACAGGGAAGTCAGGTGGTGACAGACCCAATGACAATCCATGCTAAAGAAAGCTGCCATTCTGGATGCACCCAGCCTTCCCCGGGTCTGTGAACCCAATTGCTTCAGGGAGAATGAATTTCTGTGTGTCCCAGATAACAGGAACTCCCTGCCAAGTAATTATCACACAGCCTGAATAGCCAGTTGGGCACAGAAGGAGCATGGGACGCCTGGGGTGGGAACTGCTTCTCCACAGGGGAGAAGCCTCAGCATCAGAACCCCAGCCCCTCTAGGCAGTGGGGGAGGATGTGGGTGTGGCCTTCTCTTTGCGCAGGACCTAGAGCAGAGTGCTTGCTCCCTGCCTCCGAGCTACATGGTGAGAGTTACCAGAGGTGGGCAGGTAGGGGCCCAGCCAGCTGCTGCTCAGGAAGTGCTGGTGAGCTTCTCTGCAGCATCCTAGCAGTCCAGGGAACAGGCTCCCAGAAGTCTCAGGAGCCCAAGGAAGTGCATGTGTACCTTCTACTTACCTGCCATGACTCACCTGGTTCTCAGGGGCATCTGCGACTCCTGTCCAGGTGAGGAGTTCTGCAGGGGCCCATTATAGCTCATGTGACCAGGAGCACTGCAAATGGCCTGAGACATTAGATCAGAAAAGCTAGGTTCAAGTCTAGTCTCTGGAGGTTCAGACAGGTATGTGTACCCTCATCCACACCTATCAGGCAAGGCTGCTTCTTCCTGTGGCAGGTAGACAGCAGAGGGGTACATGAAGTGCTGGCCACCCCAGCACAGAAGAGAGGCCCCTGAGGAGGCAGGGGCCACACTTAGGAAAAGGAGTATGATGGAACCAAGCCAAAACTGTCAACACACCAAGGCCATGCTGTCTGGGAACAGTCTAGGAAGTTACAATTCAGGGCAGACAGGAGGAGGAGGGTTCCATGCATGTGTAGGACCTCTGCTGGGTACCTCCGTCCTGAGTAGCAGCCAGGGGCAGGGATTCTTAATTTCTGGGCATGAGTCCCAGCTCAACCCCTTGAGGGCTGTGGGCCTCTCGGGCATGTGTCATAAGTTCTCTCTGCCCTGTTTCTCCCTTGTGACATGAGACAACAGATCCCTGCTATCTCTAGGTCTGAGTGCTCCTGGTGAGACAGGTGGCCCTCCTCTGGCTGACAGCAAGATGCTGCTTGGTTACTGTTCCTAGTGCCTGGTTCCTCCTGGGCATGCAGTCTAGACCCTGCTGGGCTCTCATCCCTTGGACCATTTGTGGATTCTTCATGAACAGTAGATGGCAGGGCGAGAATCAGGCTACTGCCTACTTGAAGAGCCCTGGACACCTGGGCTGGCACATCCCGTGTTCTAAGGACTGAGACCAGTGCAGTTTGGCCACCCCAGGCATCTTCTTGCCCCTTTCAGCAGAATCCAGAGGGCCCACAGAGGTGGGTGTCATCTCTCCGCAGAGCAGCTGGGCTGTGCCAGGCCTTCAGGCCCCCACTGTGATGCCCCTCCACCTCACCCTCCCCTCTGGGTCCATAAGAGCTCTGCTGCTGGCCTACTGGGCTCGGGCAAACACTGGACACTGAGTTTGTTTTGTTGTCTGCCATGTAGACACCCAGCTGTACCAGGCGATGTGTTCATGACAGGTTCTGGCTGTGTTTTCTGTCTTGAGAAACCAGAGCCTGAATCCCCACATGCTATGCCATCACCCCACCCTTTAGAGTCATGTCCCTGCTGCTTTCCCTCTGTCCCTGTCCTTCAGAGACCTCCACAGCTTTCCGGAAACTGGTTCCCATATTTGGTCGTAATGTAGTGATGACAGTAATGGCCAACATTACTGAGATACTGGCTGACAGGGCTTGTCACTGCCCCACTTGATTGGGGTCAAAGGCTGGTACTGACCCTGGGCTATGCTCAGAGCCCAGGTCCACCAGGATGAGGAGCACTGCCTCACCGCTGCTCCGCTCCTCCTGCAGATTGTCCTGCTGAAGGACCAGAAGAAGTGTTTCAGCATTGACAGTCCTGGCTACGAGCCGGAAGTCGTGGCAGTGCACCCTGCTGGAGACACAGTGGCTGTTGGAGGCACGGTAAATAAAGTCTTTTCCTTTCTCCTTTGCCCTCCAACCTGTGTATGAGCAGTTTAGGGACTGCGTGAGCTGTGTGAGTGCTGGGGAGGTGGGAGCCTCTCTGGTTCCTGGCGTGGCCAGTTTGCTGCGGTCCATGGGTGTGTCGCCTGTGGTGGGCAGACAGCATCGCCAGAGGTATGTTGGTGAGCTGGGCCATGTTTGCACTGTGGTCATTCCATCTGTAGACCTTTAGTAAGTGTCCTCTGGGCCACAGTGTGACCAAGGTGTCCCCAGGCTTTAGGAGCCCAGGGACCAAGACACTAAGGGTGGCAAACAGGTCAGGGAGCCACCTAGGAGGGGACATTTTGGCCATGGAGTTGGAGTCAACCCTGCATGTTTGAGGGGTGAGAGGGAACAATAAGGGTGGTGTACCTTGGTGTCTCTTGATTAGACTCATAGCTGGCAGGAGAACAATGAAAGAATACCTGACTTCCTCTGGGTAAAACATTAACCTGGTCATTTTCGTTTGCTTTGAGTTCTGGCTTCTGTTCATTTACAGCATAATTCTTATCACCTTTAGTAGCTACAGTCCAGTCACACAGAGCAGTTATCATTTGTTAGACTGAGTCCTAAGGGCTTCACAGGCAGCCGGTGCCCTCCTCTCCCTGTCCTAGGAGAGCGGTGCCTCTGATTGAGTCCCACCACTGAGGATCATACACACCCTTAAACCCTTAAGGAAAGCAATCTCTCGCCCTGCTCAGGCCAGGCTCCAGGGCCAGCCTGCTGGGTGCAGGTCAGCTTCTTGCCCCAGCCAGCTATGGCCCTCAGGAAGCCGCAGTGTGTAAAGATGCTGACGAGCTTCCTCACAGCTGTCCAGGCACGAGCAAGAAGGGGTTTGCCTAGTGCCTGGCGTGTGGGAACATGCTGTAGCACCAGCTCTGCAACTTGCACCCTGCCTCACAAGCTGTTCCTGCACTCACTGCTTTGGCTTACGGAAGGGTATGAGACCAAGGACCATGGGATCAGCCAGTTGGTGACTCCCCGACTCCCTCAAGGGAGTCACCCACACCCCAAGAGCCGTTTCCCACCTAGAGCCCATCTGCTGTTTCCAGCCTGGCCTCACTGGTCTGAGCCCGTACTGCCCCTGGCTGCTGGCTGCCTTCACAGCCCCATTGGGGCTCATGGGGCCTGTTAGACCTGTTGCTCCATTTGGTTTCCTGCTGGTCAGGAAAAAGCTGACCTTGGGGTCATTCTGACCAGGAGGGTGGGCCTAGCACCTCAGTCACAACTACTGTTTACTGCTCTTAGTGTCACCATCCTCGGTGATCCTAGTGATATGTAGACCTTGCCATCTCTACTTTTCACAAATGTAAAACATTACCTTTGGCCAGCTAAATGGCTGAAGTAACCATGTCTGTGTGGCTGCACCTGCTGTCCTGTGCTGAGCCATGTAGCTCCTGCCCAGGAGTAGCCCCTCACCCACCTCTTCCTTTTGGCTCTGGTTGGCAGCACCACAAGCCCCACAGGCCCATCGGGCTCCTTGCTTTGCTGTGAGGGTCCATCACTTTTCCACCCCCTCTTGCCTGTACCCAAGCCCAGCCCTATTTCCAGTAGCCGTTGTCCCCAAGGCTCTGCTCTGGAGCTCTGGACCTGTCACTGTTCTCCTTCCCCACACTGGCCTTTCCTGGTCCATCTCCAGCTGCCCTCTGGCATGTTTGCCTATTCATGAGGGGTGGACAGCCAGGTCCTTGTCACATTTGGGTCTGAGCCTAGTGACCCCCTTCTGTGCCCTCATTACCACGCCCTGCTCCTTAGACCTTGAATTGTTTCCTGTTGGGTGAGAAGGTACCCTTCACATGGTCACAAGGAGGAGGAAGCTGGGTTAGCTCCCCACCCCCACCACACCCGATTCTCAGGCTTCCACAGTGCCCATTGCCCTGGTATCTCCTAGTCTAGCCACACGTCTTTATGAGCCACGTGGGCCACAGCTCTGTGCTTGCGGTGCTCTTTCTCATGTACTACACTCAGTAGGCTTCGTTTGTTTCAATGACATGGTAACATTTCAGCAAGTCAGTGTCTCTCAGCTTATTTAGCCTGATGTTATGTTTGGTGGTTGATGCCATTATCTCCTGGGTGCACCTTGAGCCATCTTGGCAATCTGGGAACACACCTTTGATTTGAATGCTTTCCCTGTGGCCGATTTCCTCCTTACCAGACCACGAATCCCTGACCCCTTGCTACTAGTAGGCATCCAGAGTCCAGGAAGGGCTCTTGACAGCACAGGAGGACAGGGACAGGGATGGGGGGATTCTAGCGGGGTCACTGTACATCTTGTCAGCCCTCACTCCTTCCAAGCATGTGTAACGCTTCTTAGGACCAGCCCTCAGTGGAACCGGTGGTGACTAAGATGTCAAAGTCCCTGGAAGCTAGGTGTGGCCTCCCTGAAAGGAGGTATCTGAGCACCAGGTGACTGGGAAGCCTGCCAACATGTGGACAGGGAGTGCTCTCCCACTGGAGGGAGCAGGTACATGTGGAGCACCCTGGAGGGCTATGCGTGGGTTTCTCCAGATTGGCCTGTGAGCATTGCCTGGCATCTGACGGGGTGGGGTGTGAGCAGAAAGAGCAGGCTCCTAAGCATTCAGTGCACAGATTAGGAATAGGGAGGCCTGGAGTTCAGTTCTAATAACCTCCTGCTCATTCTTCCCTGCTGGGAGGAAGCCAGGAGAACTGTTAAAGACCTTAGTTGAGGGCTTTTGGTGCCAGGGAAGAAAGAACAGCTCCCCTGCAGCCAGAGCCCTCTTGGCAGGGGAAAAGGCTTGCTTCCTATCAGCATGCCCTTTCCTTTCAAAAGAGGTGAGATCTCCTGCATATCAGGGAGTGACTCCCCTCCTCTGTCCACACCTGCAGGATGGCAATGTCCGTGTGTACTCAATCCTGGGCAGCACACTGAAGGACGAGGGCAAGCTCCTGGAGGCCAAGGGCCCTGTGACAGACGTGGCCTACTCCCATGATGGCGCCTTCCTCGCCGTGTGTGATGCCAGTAAGGTGGTCACCGTGTTCAGCGTTGCTGATGGCTATTCGGTGAGTGGGCCTCAGACCCTTCTGAGCTGGGCAGCATGGGCCTGGAGAACCCATGGCAGGAGGCTCCTGGCTGTGCCTTTTGAGCCTGTCTCCTTGTCCCTGGGGGTACCAGACGCCTCTTGTGATTATTTCAAGGAGACAGAGACACCTAAGTGCTGCCAGCGTAGTGCATGTGCTTAAGGAACGTGGGCCCTCGTGTGAAGGAATTCATCTGAACCCTGACCTTTCCACCTTTGTTTTCAACCTGCAATTAGGAGAACAACGTTTTTTATGGACACCATGCAAAAATCGTCTGCCTGGCCTGGTCACCAGACAACGAGCACTTTGCCTCTGGTGGCATGGACATGATGGTGTACGTCTGGACCCTGAGTGACCCAGAAACCAGAGTCAAGATCCAAGGTGACTCCACCCACGCCTTAGCAGGGAATGTCCTAGCGGGCCTTCCAGGCCACCCCAGAGACTTGTACCTTGGCTACTGTCCCCAGGGCTGAGTGTCTAGGGTTATATCGACATCTAGAGAGGTGACCAGTAGAGTTGGGACTCTCATTCTTTGGCTAACAGAAGGTGCTCTGCTGACCCTAGCAGAGGGACTCTGGGGTACTTCTCCCTGGGTGGCACCTGGGAGCAGGGCTCCTTATGTCTTTCCTATCCACTCTCCTAACTCTCCATCCACAGCCAGCCTTTCTTGTCATGATGGTATCCAGTAGAACGAAAGCGTAAGCTGCATGTGGATGGTAGATTTTCTGTTTTGAAAAAAAATGTCATTTTTAAGAGTATATTTGATTTAGCCCAGCATCTAATCACTTCCACTTATGCTAGTGGCTCATCCGCAGGGCTCTGCAATGTCCTATGGCTGTCAACCCTGTGTGGGACAGCAAGGTTCTCAAGTTTCCCCTCTTCCCAGGTGCTTCCATGTTGCCCTGGCCACTCCTCTACTCTGCCCACAGAAGAGTACAGCTGGATCCTTTCCTATTTAGATTGACCCGAGTCCACCCCAGAGCTTCAGGGAATGAAGGGTGTGCCAAGGCCCAGGTGGAGGAGGCCTGACAGGTTCCCGGGGGCCGTCCTGGTCTGTAAGGAAGTGTTCAGCCACATAGTAAGAATTGGCAGGCTCATGAGTGAGACCAATCAAGGACCAAATACTGTAGGAGCCAGCAGGGTGGGGAGAAGGGGGTCCTGAACCTGCACTTCAGCCAGGACCTCTAACACCAGTTGCCTCTAGCTTGCCTTCTGTGCCCGAGGGTGAGCTCCGCACCCACCAGTGTGATGATGTGGATACAGCGCTGAGGTCCAACCATACCTGGGCACCAGCACCATGTGCCACCCGCCTTCAGAGGCTCATGGCTGACTTCTGGGGCTGTATCTGCTCCTGTCCAGGTGGGACTATAGACCCCAGAGTTGGGGGGCCACCCAGGGTAGGACCCCCATTCCTGGAACTGGAAAGACCCCCCCCCATTTCAGTACCACTGGTGATATGCATAGTAGTCCCTCTGGAGTGATTCCAGGACCTTAGATCATCATAGTTCAAGATCTCCGGTCCCTTGAATAAAGTAAGTATTGATATATAATTTAGACACATCTTCTAGATTACTTAAAATACCTAAAACAGTGTAACAATGTGTAAAGAGTTGTTATACCTTGTTGTTTAGGGAACAGTGAGAAGTCTGTGTTCTGATAGATATAACCACTATGGGCAATCTGCAGTTCGGATCCTTGGCTGGTTGAGAACACAGATCCAGAACCCAATTACTGAGACCCCAGGCATCATGGTGCTCACATGTAATCCCCTGACTCAAGAGAGGAAGGACGGACTAGGGATCGAGCTCAGCTCGGTGGTAAAGGGACACTGGGTTTAATCCCCAGTACAAAAATAAATCCAGATGCTGAGGATTGGCTGAGTATCTGTTTTCTTACCTAAAACTTTTTGCTTTATGCATAAAAGAGAAAGGAGTTTTTCCTCCCTGTGGAGGGAGAGGACATTTTGATGTTGGAGAGGAGCTGCTGGGGGCTGCAAGCAGAGGCCAGAGATGCTGCTCATCACCTTGCAGTGTCGATAGCTCTAGGCCAACCATGGCTGCTCCCAGCTCCTGTCCTTCCAGGCTTGTCCCTCTGAAGGTGGAAGGGGATCTGGCTGACAGCCACCAGGTTCCCAGAGCCCTGTGGATGGCACAGGCTTGCTTCCATCTTCCTAGACAGGTGTACACAGAAGCAGAGAAGGTCCAGCTCCCTAAGTGGCTCCCTTTCTCCCCAGATGCACACCGGCTACACCATGTCAGCAGCCTGGCCTGGCTAGACGAGCACACGCTGGTCACCACCTCCCACGACGCCTCTGTCAAGGAGTGGACAATCACCTACTGAGGACGCCCTCCCCACCCATGGACCGAATCAGGGACTAGTGTTTAACCGCAGCGGAGCATATTCTCTTAACTGTTTCTGTAACGCGCCCCTCGCCCCCCCGCCGCCCAGGAGGGAAGAGGGCCTGGGTGGCCACCTGCGTCCCTGCAGGGTGCTCGTGTCTGTACGCGTCCTTCTGAAAGCTTTAGACAGTAGCAGTTTGCACATGAAAAATAAAGTGAGCACTTAAACAGCGTGTGGAGCGTAACTAAAACCCACAGCCCAACCAGAGCTTGAGAACGCGGAACATTCCAGAGGCAGCAGCCTCCAAAGCACAGAGACCCAGCCCATGACTCTTGCTGTCCCACGGGAGCTTGGGAGCTTGGACAGGGAGTGAATGGGCTCCCCCTTTCCTCCTGCACAGGGAGGGAAGAAGGGACGCGCATTGCAGCCGACAGGCTGTGTTCTGAGGAGCTGATGTCTGTCTCCCCTATGGTGTGTCGCCACAGGGCTGTCTCCAGGAACCGCCCCCAGATCACACAGGGGCACACATTAACCCTGGATGTGTTTCTTTTGTCGATTTTGTGCTTGCTTTTAAGAATGGAATTGTGGGATTTTTTTTTTTTTTTTTTTTTGCTTTTTTTTTTTTTTTTAAAGAGAGGGTTAGGGTTAGGGTTAGGGTTAGGGTTGGGGGTAGGGTGGGGGTTAGGGTTAGGGGTGGGGGGGGGCGGTAGGGGGGGGGGGGGGGGGGAGGAAGGAGAGACAGAGTGTGCTGCTTGGGGGTTTTTATGTCTTGCCCACTCAGATTCAGTAACTTGGTAGAACAGCTACTGTTGCTGAACGCTCAGTCCTTGTCCCCAATGCCAATCCAATAACAACAAGGACACGGTTTTGAGAAAAAAGAAAAAAGGTTTATTGCTTTGCTAGAAAAGGAAAAACATAGCCTCCTCATGATTCTGCCTATCCATAGAAACTGGGGGGTTTTTATAGAGGTGATTCAGAGAAAATGAGATTAGGAAGGAGAGATCAGGAAGGAGAAGATCAGGGAAAAGAAAATCAGGGAGGAGAAGTTTAGGGGAAAAAAGATTGAGAAGAAGGAAAAACAAACATGTAAGTTTCAAAGCCATAGGGAATATAGTCCAAGCATCAAGTGAACCC